TCTGACTTTATTTTAAACGTTTATGTTCTTAGTTCTCCTCCATCATTGCGCAACCTTGAGTGTCACGATAAAATTTGTAGTAGTTTTAAAGTTGCAGCTTAGATTTGGCGAATATTTTATGCAAAGGATCACGGAAATTCATTCTTTCTAATGAAGGATTCCTGTTTTATGACAGTAATTATTAACTCATTATTAATTAATAATGTAAATATTCTAGCTTTATTAAATTGATAAATTACTTGGCTATAGTGTACTCACGTATTATCTTTAATACTGAAAGAACCGAAAACATAGTCCAGGAAACATAAAGGCGACCTTCGAAAGTTGACCTTATGTGTGCGGCTTGTTGAATAAGCGTCCTGTGGTGTCACCATACCCAAACCAGATGAAGCTTTCAAAGCTTTGGGACTATAAGTGAAGCCGAGAGGCAACTTAATCGAGAAGCACATAAATCCATTAACTCAGTTCTTCCTTTGCGCAAATGCTCTGAAATCAACATAAGCCTAATTTATTGTACAATCAACGGAATTTCTCCATCAAGAAATAAACTAAGGTAGAGAAAACCGATTACATCGAAGCCAGACGATGATTGAATTTGATAGCAGCTGAGAAAAGTTGCACACAACCAATAATGAGAATAGTCCGAGGGGATTAGCCGTTTTTTCTCACGCTATCATTTGTAAAATGATGGCTCAGTTTGAAATGCAGCTGAGGCCACCTGATTTGAAGCCGTTATTGAACGCCCAACATAGCAGACAGAGCACGTATTTATTTTGCCAACAAATTCAGGTCGCGTCGTCCCTCCATTTTGCAAAGGGTTTATCTCTCTCTGGTGGCCAACGATTCATTCAGCAGGCAGATATGGTTTTTCAATGAAATTCTTTTTACCTAACAAAAAAGTAAAATCCATCCCGCCTAGCGAGTTGGAAGGGAAGTAAGTACGTAGCGCCTTCTTGTTGTTCTCCTTCACACACCAATCTGGATATCAGGAAGGCAGGTTTTCGATAACTGTCACTCTCAAAATGCTTTTGCAAAAGCCATATTTCTCACAGATGAAGGTTAGTATATCTTCTCGCTTGTGGTTGGTAGTAGAAAACGGTTAGATCTCATCAAATGTTATTTTTTCACACTTATGCATTTTCTGGAGGGGTCAAGGCTAATGTAAAACTCATTCAATTACCACCCAGTAGTAATCGTAAACTGTCGCCTGTGTTAAAAACAGGGATAAATTAGCTGCCTCGACAGTGGTCGTCATTAGTTAGGGTGCGGCATGTAGTAGAGTATACTAGTAAATGCTGTTGCACAGTCAGTTTGGTGGACTCCGTGCAAAAGCAACTGCCTCCAGTGCTCAAAAATGAAGAAGGACAAATAAAACATGATCGAAATCAAAGTGCAATACATTTATCAAGTCTGAGTCCTTTTGATAAATAAATTCTAGTTATGTTTTTCACTGTGACTTTACTATTTTACAACTGATGCACCACCAACCATCGTAAAGATCGAGAAATCGTACATTGTAATGACGTTCGGCCAGTAGAAGTAAAACATTAGTGAATATTGCTAAAGTTATATTGCGTCTGATGTGGAACAATATCATATTCAATCCCACTGGACGTTGGGAGCAGCAATTGTGATAACAGTCAGAGTGTTGCACGAGTTCAGTCAATACTTGTATATGTAAGCATTCGAATAAGTGATGTGAGAATAGTAATTGGTTTATGACAATCGCTTTGGTTGTTGTTACTGTGAACTGTTTGTTTGTTCATAATTACCTTCTTCTGTCAGACACCATTTCAACGTTACCACACTTCATCGCATTGATTTTACTCGTTCCATGATTACGTATTTACTCTTTACGTGATGGTTGAGAGGAGGAAAATATATCTAGTGTATGTGTACATATAAGTGCTACAATCATTTTATGTTTCAGAGATGTTACTAGTTAATAATAGATTCTTTATTTTTGCCTCGTTCTAATACTGTTCTATCTTTTTTTCGTCCGCTACCCCCAGGCACTTTGTCTAGTCACCTGCGAATGATCGTTGTCTGACTAAGGGAAATTTAATATCTCATTGGTCAGATATGTGATTAGGTTATTTCTTATGGTTACCGCGCAGGAAAAATTATTCTCATTATTTTGTCAGATTTTTTTCGTTCACTCGCCCACCCTCACCGCTTTTGTTTTCTCCTTTCCGATGACAATCAGTGCAAGCGGAGACAATCGATTTGGACGTGAACTTTCTATTTCGCCTGTCCATGCAATTGGTTCACAGTTGCGACGGATGTCCTCGATCCATCGCCTGGACAAGGGAGGATGGGACAGGGACAAAAGTGTTTCCTTAGCGAGTTCGAACGTCTGTTTGGACGAGTGAAACAGGTCAGTGCAGTGCTCCCGGTTCGGTGCTTATCATATTTGTTTTCTCTTCTGTGAGATTTTACAATCTCATTCCTGTGG